GAGTTTCGCATTGAAATATCCCTTCTATTGAAATGTTTCGCCTATTGTTTGAGAACGTAGAATAATGGATTAGGTGAAAATGGAGTAGAGAAGTATTGTGAACCTTAGGAGAGTCTAGAGTAGAATGCATATTAACCGGTTGGATAGTAGGTTCACAAGGCCACCTATACATTATTGCATAGGAACGGTTATATGGGCAGCCGTCGCCAGCTTGTTTGTGTTGGGCCTGAAAAAGTGGCACAAAAACCTAGTAGAGTCAATGGAGGTTCGCCCTACGGGGAAGAATATGTTGTGAAAATTCTGTTGACGGGCAGAATATAAGGTTCGGGCAAGTTCGGAGGGGAACAAAGTTCCACCGTCTTGTGTTGAATAGTGGAGTCCAGGACTCCCGTATATATATGTATATTATGTAAAGTATAAGGTTCGGGCAAGACATGAAGAGGAATCGGATTCCTCCGCCTTGTGTTGAATAATAGAGTCTGGGACGCTCGTATATGAGTACCAAGGGAAGTGCGGTAGCACTTACTTGGCTATTGGGTAAATGCATGGTGCCGAGGCATCATGTGGTAGTAGTGTGGTAAAGGGTAGATAGGTTATGTTAGGTCGTGAGACGGAGTAGACCGTCTTACTGAGTATTCAATACTCACCCCCTTACCAGACTTGCAGGATAGGAGATCTGGTTTGGTAGCTCATAGGAAGCGGCAGATGCGGTAGAGGCTTTCCCAAGGCGTGGTAGTTTTAGAGTTTCCGCATTGTAATTTCACCGCACAATGTAATAAAGAAATTTTAGAGTAACAGATAACTAATTTGGCAACATTTTGCGGTGGGATTCATATTCCCTGATGCGGGTGTTACAAGTTTGTATCAGAGCTCGGTTGTCACCCCAGTTCTGGCCTGGGGGAGAATTATAAGATTTCTGGGACAAAACTACCGCGAGGGAAAGTTACCAGCTCTGCCGCGGACCTTAACACCCTATGACCTTATCAGTGCCAAGTACATTCATGGAAATGTACTTGGTGAGTTATAGGAAAAATGGAAGTTCCATTTCTCATTGGGAACAATTGTTCCCATACGTTT